TATTTTTATCTCTATGGTTCAGTATTTTCTCAAGTAGCAACTTTAACTGCTGTACTTTCCTGTCTTAAAAGGCAGAACTCTTCTAGTCTAAAAAAAACTCATTTGTTGAAATGGGGGGGCCTGTAGTTTGAACCCCTTAGGGGCTTTTAAAAACAAAAATGTCTTTTTTGGCGCTTTATGAAACAAAGTACCCTATATTTTGTGGATGTACAGCTACATTTCTCATGTAAGTTTGCGTAGTTTTAACACAAACATTTATTTTTCATATTGCACCAGTACAGTTAATGAGCAACCTGTACTTGTGTGCTTGTTTGTTCTGTCTAAAATGTTTATTTTAGAATAAAGAGGTTAATATAAAAAATATTTTTGTCCGATTCATCGATTAATCGAAAAAATAATCGGCCGATTCATCGATTTTTTAAAATAATCGTTAGTTGCAGCCCTACTCATAATATTATCTTTGTTTCATGACGATAACGAGAACTGATGAGCTAAACGCGGATCTTTGATGATGAAAACATGCCGTCTGTTGATGAGACTAAATAAAAATGTAAGCGGCTGGTCTTTCAGATGTTTAAAATCCATCATTGTGCTGTAATCTGTTAGGCAAGCTAAGCAGTATCAGCCGTGCAGCTGTGTCTTGTTTGGTCACCTGGCGTGCAGCGCGGCACATTCTGCATGACCTCAGATGGACCCTGGCAGCAGCAGCAGGGTACAAATAATCGTCCGGTACTGCGTGCTGAACTCTGACAAACTCTGATCTTCCAGCTGTGCCTGTGTAGAAATGCATCTCTGAGCAGCTTAGAGTCTGCGCTTTACGCTCCATACAGATGGTTCGCTCTCAGCAGTATGGCTCTTCCATCGCTACCTAATAACCTATTTGTGGCTGATCATTCTCTGCCAATGTAAAAAATCCTTTTGTTTAAATATCAAGATTTTATTTCTTCCAGTTCACAAGCGGTGATACTACACATTCTTTTTATTTTTATTTTTTCTGACACTGTTTTTATGCTTTTGTACGGTGATCTTGAGTGTCCAGAAAGGTGCCTTTTTAAATAAAATTTATTATTATTATTATTATTATTATTTAATTTCTACCAAAAGGAATCAATAAATGATATCCACAAACTGTGTATTATTATTAAAAGTTTTTGCATTCTGTTTATTTTTGGATAAAAATCCAGACGTAAAGGCACATAGATATTGGAATATTTCTCTCTTATAGTTCTTGTTTCTAACTATTTCAACATTTTAAAAAATATTCAAATGTAGTTCCTGATTGCTGTGGCATTATACGGCAAACATGTAGGCTTTCTGTGTATTTTTTAAATATCAGTCTCCTTTTAATTTAAATCTACTGAGCAGTGGTTACTAAGAGGTATATTTTTAAAAATAAAGCCAAATTTGCCAAAGTAGAAAGAAGAATGTGTTTATTCTTTGCTTTTTTAGCGCAATGACGTTTTTATTGATCTTTGTGTAATGCATGATCCATGGAAGATCAGGAAGTGTTTGCTTTGGGATGGAAACCTTGTATGTCTAAAACAGGGTTTTCGCGGGTCATTAAAATCATTAAAAGTCATTAAAGTATCATTTTTTAAATTAAGGCCTTAATTGGCATTAAAATTCATTAGATGTTATTATCTTTGCATTTGAAATGCTTTATTTAAAAAGAAATACGATTATAAAAACAATTTCGTCAGATATATCGCAATATATATGCGAGGAACTGCTTCTGCTTGATCGTAAAGCTGTATGTTCGGAAATGGAGCTCGGAGCGAAGAAAAGCCTAGAAAATGGGGAAATGCACATTTCAACAAAAGTGGCTGGAAAACAAGGAATTTGGGACATGGCTGCTGCCTGTCTACGGTAAATATGACAATGTGTATCATATATATATATATATGACCTCATAAAAAAAAATATATATATTAGGGGTGGAATGGTTCACAAAATCCACGGTTCGGTTCGGTTCACGGTTTCGTGGTCACGGTTTTTGGTTCGGTTCGGTATATGTTGATTGTATAGTACAAAACGTGTTGCACAATGCTTACACACTGTTGCACTTTTATCCACAACTTTCTTTCCGCCGTCATCGTAGGTCACTCTAAATGCGAAATGGTCCCATACAGCAGACCTATAAAGTGCTGCTGGCGCGTCTTCCAACTCCTGTTCTTTCCCACTCGCCATACCCACACAATTCTCCACAACAACTGATTTTTTTCTGCTACACCCGGTTACGCTGCTTCGCTTCTTCTACTTCTTGTTTACTACTGGTGGTTGGCTTTGGTCGCAGTACCGCCACCTTCTGCTCTGGAGTGTACACGCTTCGCCTATGAGAAAAAGGAGCAGCGCATGAACCGAACGCAACACACGCAATCGAACCGAGACAGTCGAACCGAACGGTTCGGGCGGTTTTCATAAACCGTTCCATCCCTAGTATATATATATATATATATATATATATATATATATATATATATAGTATATATGAGAGTCATTGGTACTTTTTGATAGCTTAAAATGATTTCTAAGAGCTTAAAAGAGCATTCAAAAGCATTCAATTTGAGTCAACCATTCCTGTATAAACCCTGTAAAACCATTCCTTTATTGTCCATTTCCTTAGCTTGTCTGTCGGCTATATTAACCAATATGATGTAATGAAAAAGATCTGCGATTTTCACAGCTTTTGTGAGACACTTTTGTATAAAGTAGGGCATTAGCTAATAAAAAAGTCTATTTTATTTCTATAAAGCTAAGTTTTGTACCCAACAGCAATGATGAACTGCACAGCAGCTTTCTATTACCAGCTATTGTTGTATCTAGGCTAGAGCTGTCAGTCTGCTAAGGAGCTTGAGTTTTAGTCGACTAAAACACACCAAAACTATAACATATAGTAATGACTAAAATCTGACTAAAACTAATAATAGTTTTCATTCTCAAGACCAAGGCCGTTTCTCAGTATGTGTACTTGTGCGTTCCCATGTACTCGTGAAAAGTCATCAGTCTCAGCCGTAGTACTGTTCCAATTCACAAAAAACAAGAAGAACGAGAACGGAAAAAGTCCCCAGATTTGTTCTTCATGTTCTCGCCCCTCCCTCTTTACCCAGCATGCATCAGAGCAGACTTGTCTGTTCTTTAGACGGACAGCTGTCCCAGCATGCACTGCGGCAGCAGCAGCTCCCGGGTTAGCGCTCACAGAGCTCAGAGTATTAACTTAAAAGTTATCTTTTCTGTTGCCGTTGTTCTATAAAAGTACGTTTTAAGATAATTTAAGTTGAGAACATTATACTTTTAGCATCACTATATGGCCCATTTACTGATTTAGTGCACAATTTCAGTTCAGTTCACAAGTTCAGATGTTGAGAGGACCATGGCAACCAGCGGAGGTCTGATGCTAACGGCAGCAGGGGTAACGTTAGCCCATCTGCAGCAGCCAGGGCCGACGTCAGCCCGTCTGCAGCAGCCAGGGCCGACGTCAGCCCGTCTGCAGCAGCCAGGGCCGACGTTAGCCAGTCTGCAGCAGCCAGGGCTAACGTTAGCCAGTCTACAGCAGCCAGGGCTAACGTTAGCCAGTCTACAGCAGCCAGGGCTAACGTCAGCCCGTCTGCAGCAGCCAGGGCTAACGTTAGCCAGTCTACAGCAGCCAGGGCTAACGTTAGCCAGTCTACAGCAGCCAGGGCTAACGTTAGCCAGTCTACAGCAGCCAGGGCCGACGTCAGCCAGTCTGCAGCAGCCAGGGCTAACGTTAGCCAGTCTGCAGCAGCCAGGGCTAACGTTAGCCAGTCTACAGCAGCCAGGGCTAACGTTAGCCAGTCTACAGCAGCCAGGGCTAACGTCAGCCCGTCTGCAGCAGCCAGGGCTAACGTTAGCCAGTCTACAGCAGCCAGGGCTAACGTTAGCCAGTCTACAGCAGCCAGGGCCGACGTTAGCCCGTCTGCAGCAGCCAGGGCTAACGTTAGCCAGTCTACAGCAGCCAGGGCTAACGTCAGCCTGTCTGCAGCAGCCCTCTCTCTGCATAGCCGTGTGTGAAGGACCGCTGGCTATGATAGTGATATTTTGTTTTATTTTTCAAAATGTTCATTTGATTTGTGTTTATATGACTAAATGAAAAAAATCTGAATTTTTTATTATGTAGAGACTATTAATAACAGGAGGTGAAATGCAGCTCCAGACGAGCTGAGCATGTTATGATGTCATCAGTACGCGTCAGCTCCAATTGACCCATATTTAAGCTCCATTCTCCCGTTCTCCCAGAGTTCAGACTTTTCTGTGTTCTTCTCAAGAACTTACTTGGCGACGACACAAGTCTGTACTCGCGTTCTTGTTAATTAAGAAACGGCCAAAAACTAAGACTGAATCTAAGATGGTTGTCGAAAACAACTCTGCTGGATAGAGCATATTTGACAGAGGATAAATTTTTTTTATTTAAATGCAAAATGTTAATATATAGATTTTTTTACAATATTTGATAGAATTAATAATAATATTTGAACGTTATTAATTATCACGCTGGAGAAATGTACCTCTAAATTTTAACCCATCCCGTTGGGGAGCAGTGGGCCTTTGTGGTGCTGCCAGGGAGCAGTGTGGAGTTAAAGGTGTTGCTCAGAGACCCAGAGTGCAAACTGTGGGGATCGAACCGGCAACCTGGAACCTTCTCAGAGCACAAGCTGAGTTGCTGTCTTAATACCTACTGCTGGTTTCTATTTCTGTCTGCAAATGTTTTACTCTTAACATTTCTCTGTGTCTTTCCAGTTCAAACCATCAACTTCATTTGTACTATGCTTTGATTTCTTTGTATTATTGGAAGCCTGCACTTCACCTGCTGTATTCATTAAAGTTCTGGTTATAGTGAATCAAAATGTGAAAACTCCAAGCATTAATGATACTTTTGATGCTGTACTGAGTTCCCGAACCAAACTTGAACAGATCTCACACTTCATTCTAAATGAAGGTCAGAACGACAATAAAATGTGTTTGCCTTGTTGTTGTGCGTATAGGTCTCCCCCTAGCTTGACGCCGCTGTCCAAACAAAAGGAGGAAAATGATTCTCAAGCAGAAAAGGAAGATGATAAGAAGACTGGATTTAAGGACCTCGTGAAAAACTTTCCTCTTAATTCAGTTATCCGTGGGAAAGGCTCCCTGGGAAAGAGCAGCAAGGCGAAGCAGTCCCACCTCACCGAGGTAAGAAACCAACGGTTGTTTTATTTATTTATTTTAAAAAGTCCGCTCCTTACTTAAAGCAAAGTAAATAAACATTGTGTTTTCTTCTGTTTCTATGGAGACAAATGATTTTCTTAAAGAGAAACGCCGTTTTTTTTACATTGGGTCCTTGATTTTCCGTTATTCCATCATGTTCTAAACACCCATATGAGTTTTGTGTCATTTTGGAGCCATTCTGAAGATATTCCGTTATATCCAAGTAACGTCTTCCTATGGGCAACGAGTTAAAGGCACAAACTAATCTGTTTATAATTTATTCTTTATTGTAATTCAGCATTCATAACATGTAGGCAAATCTCTGTCCCCCAGACTGAGAATCGGCACTAATTTGGGCGTATCAATGGTAGATTTAGTCATGGCGCAGCACAGAAGGACCCAGAATTCAAGGCGAGACAGACAATGGGATAAATCAAACCGTTAATAAAAAAAAAAAAGGAGCGGGCTGTGGGTCCGCGGTGTCAGCGGCTAGGACAGGGCACCGCACATCACTGGAAACTCTGCTTGGAGAAAAACACTGATTAGATAATCTGACGGAGAAAGATTATCCATATGAGTCACTAACCTGGTTTAACAGTTCAGTCCATATCCATAGAACGAGGTAGGATGCAGCCGGTGGGCTGCCCAGTGTCCTGATTCTGCAGCCGTAGTGAACAAGCAAGAGTCAGGAGCCCAGTCAGGGATACCGATAAAAACAGGAACATGCTCTTTCAGGGTTCCACAGAGAGATCAGGTAGAACATTCAGACGGGAACCGGCAGGCTCTGGGGTTGAGAAGCAGAACAGGTCAGGATATCAGGAACACTACGGAAACGCAAAAATACAGCTCTCTCCACTGAGCCAAGACAGGAACAGGGCAAGTTCAGTGGATAAGAGGCAGATCGGGATCAGCAAATCAGAAACACTATTAAAGACCTCTCTCCCCACTGCCCCCCGAGAATGAGCACTAGAAAAAAAGCATCAGCAATAATCTCGCCACAATGTTTGCTTTCTGTAACGTACAGGAAATTGGACCCAGCAAACCACTCAGACAGGTCAACAGATTTTATTAGTGACTCTGTGGCACAGGGAGCACGCAGGCAGCTCTCAGTCAGGGAATCCCCTCTTGGCGGAGACAACAGGTTATTGATCAGCAAGAGGAAAACTAGAGACGGGGTGAGGCTGGATCACTAACCTGTTACTGTGTCTCAGAGTGGGCAGTTGGCTCCGTGTAGGTCCGGGGCAGGAGTCCGTAAGAGGAAGGGGCTTGTGGAAGCAGTGGCCGATGAGCGGCGGATGGTTTGCTGAGGACTGAGGCCAATGAGCTCCAGAGACAGTCAGTTTACTGATTCCAGTGAATAGATCCAAGCAAAGGTACAGAGGGGCAATCCTGAAGAGAGGTCCAGGTCAGATCCAGGGTCCGTTAACTGGCAGGTTCAGAGAAGCAGAGGGGTCAGGCAGACTCGGTTACTCACTGACTGAGTGGGGTTCAGGCTCACAGGCAGGCAATCCAAGGCAGAACTGATGCAGGGGTCCAGAGGCAGATCTGGTTTGGATTCTGGGCAGGCAGACAGGATCAGAAAAGGGATCAGGCAGGCACGGCGAAAAAAGGCAGAAAACAGGTCAGGCAACAGGTAGGCAGGCAAAAGACTGAAATGCTGGAAGGTACTCAACGGTTGGTTTGAGACGATCTGGCACTGGGAACAGATCTAAATGAGGTATATATAGAGATGTATCCAATAAGTGATAACAGCAGGCCGGGTTGGAGTGAGCAGGTGTGTCGAGTCGGGGATTAAGCCAGTGCCGAGATCGTCACACCTTCCCCGTTTGTAGTTAAAACAACAAAACATTCTTGACAGGGCAAATGCATGTAAGTTAATACAAATAAAATGATGACATTTACATTTTTCTAACAGAAACTTTGCAACTAGCTACTACTCAATCTCTGCTGAATTTAGTCCAATATTTTTCTGCATTTTGCCAATGCATTATCGAATAGGCTGTGTTGTATAGACACTGTGACGGATTGTTGGAGGAGATGTGCTCTGCAAGGCATGTGTTCAAATTGGACTTCCTTGATAACTGGGATCATGTTCCGTGCACTGTCGCTGGTCAGCGTGCTGACTTCATCTTCAATGTTCCATTCTCGGCCTACGTGCATGATGTCCTCTGCGCCCCTGCTGGCGAAGTACCTGTCCTCTGCTTTCATAATAGTCAATGTATATGACTTAAGTCCCCACTTATGGTCAAAATAATGCGCTGTGACCCCGAGGTAACTGCACTTAGCTAGTGAGGTCAGGTAGTCTCCGGTCAGCGCAATTGTGCTTGTCTGCTTCACTGCCACCGCCACCGTGGCTCTCTTGTTTTCATACAGGTCATGGATGTTCTTGGTAGTAGTATCTCAACAAGGTAATTCATATGTCCAGTGTTGGATCCATGTGTATTATTTCACGCAGACCATCGTCCTCCACAATACTTATTGGCCTTTGACTTATTCCTTTGAAATTATCCAGCGTGCAAGGAGGGGGCTGACTGCATCCACTGTGTGCTTGGCCAACAAGTGGTATTTGAAACTAGACCCACTCCGGTGGTGCATAAATTCCTGCAACAATAAATACAAGCTACTTTTTTCCTTTCAGACAGCCATCTGGACAAACTTTATAGCTGAACTTGCCATTCAAAATGCTCTCTCACTGGGCTGTGGTTGATTCACAGCATTTTCCTCTCCATTGTCGCTACAAGCATGCTTAGTGTGAGGGATTGCATTTGAGTTAATGAGTCAATGAAATCAGCTGGTTTTCCTTAGATAGAAAACTTTAAATCAATCTGACTGGATGAGCTGATGAACTGGAAAGTGCCTTGAGATGACATGTGTTGTGAACTGGCGCTATAGAAATAAACTGAATTGAATTGAATTTAATAGACCTCAGTGCATTGCCTCCTGATTTGTGGAATTTGAAGTTGGCCGAGGTTTAAAGATAACTGCGTTAATCTCGGATTAAAAGAATTGGTGCAGTCTAAAGCCTGTTACGTTAAAGCGTTCATTTTGACAGCCTTAGTGAATTTATGCAAATTTCAAACAACTGGAGAAATGGCTTATCAACCGAAACAATGCACTTAAATAGTTCCAGCCTTTGTTTTGGGTCCATAATACCTTTTATTTCTTCCACTGTTTTAGTCTGGGACTGGGTTGATGGCAGACTTCTCTCTTTCCAGACACCTTGTCCTCCACGAGGAGGCGTTTCAAGGCTTGCCCGGAGATAATTACCCAATTTACACTACTGGTCCATGCCCAGACTGGTCCGAGCTCGGATCAGTTAACCAGGCCGAGCTCGGTTCTGACGACCGTTTACACATCACGCTATCTCGGCTCCTCGCCTCCTAGTGACGATCTGAGGTATTACTGCCAGTATTAAAGGAGGAAATCAAGCAGTTGGTGGCAGTAACGCACCAAAAGTTGTTTGCCAACCGCCATAAAACACAAGAAGAAGAAGAAGAAGAAGAAGAAGAAGAAGAAGAAGAAGAAGAAGAAGAAGAAGAAGAAGAAGAAGAAGAAGAAGAAGAAGAAGAAGAAGAAGAAGAAGAAGAAGAAGAAGAAGAAGAAGAAGAAGAAGAAGAAGAGAATCAAGCAAATCAAAATGTTGCGTGGAGAAAATTTCAATTGTTGTTTATAGTTGTTCTTCTTCTTCTGTTTTATGTTGGTTGGCAAGCAACTTCCGGAGGGGCATTACCGCCAACTACTGGAATGGAGTGTGAATCGGGATGTGCAGCCCGCGTTCTGCTCATGCGCTCTTGTTATCATAGAACCGATCCAGGGAAAAACCGAGCCGAGCCCACCTCTAGAACTGGTCTGCAGTTAGCTCGGTCCGGTTGTGTCTAGCTCGGTTCAGTTCAGTTTGCTTTCCATTTACACACGATAAGTTATCTCAGTCTCTGCACTGTTTTTCAAGGGTACTGTAAATGGGGTAATAGTCGCTCTGGCGCTTGCTGGACCAACTCCTCTATCCCTGGCATCATTCTCTGTATAAACTGTCTGAATGAAAAATTGTTTTGTCTTTTTTCACTAAGTGAAAGAAAACAACTGCCAGTCTACTGAGAGTAGTGGTTTAAGCCAATATTTTCAGTATTAAAACTGTATTTCAAGAAAAATTTTTTTTATGTTTTGCAGGAGTGTGTCTCTCCCTCCTCATCTTCAGATGAAGATGAAAGTGAAAAAAAGATGAAGCTGAGACAAGCAAAGATTAAAAAGAAGCTTGCTTCATTCTTCGGAAAGAAGATAAAAGAAATAAAAGAGAAGGACAAAGAACAAAGAGATTCTCCTCAGAGATCAAAGGGCTCAACACGTGAAAAAAAACACACAAAGGACCTCGCCTCTCCTGGTAAGCTAACCATTTCCACTAAAGTCATGAAAATAATCCTTAAACCAGATCTCGATCTTTATTCAAACTGCATGTAAATATATGACAATATTGAAAATTTTTTCCACACTGTGAGCAAAGGTTTGCCTGAATAACAAGTGCAATATAGTGTAAAATAAGAGGAACAACGTGTAAGCCTTCATTAAAGTGCGGACCACCAAACTGTGCATATACTGGGAGGAAGATATGCAAACATTAATACTTAGCACCCAATAGGCCATTGCAATTCAGATCTAAACACCAACAGCAACATGTCCGCGGTCAATGTGGGCGGAAAGAAGGGGTCGCTACGATGACAGAAGCTAGAGACAGTCTGCGAACACATAGCAAGAGCAGTAGAACAATAATAGGGTAGGAAATACATCTGGTCAGGGCGGAATAATGCAGCGTGAAGCAAGACAATTCTTATGAAATTAAACTAGGGCTGGGACTGTAGGACGTTTTATGTTAAAGTATGCAGTAAATTATATTTTATCTAAATACTAAAGTCCTGATAGGAACCTTTGTATTTGGTGGTTGTTGCACACCTTGTCACACCCAGGCATTGGTCCACTGGGAGAATTTAAAGTGTTGATGATGCAATATTGTTTTTTAATTTTTATTGAAATCATGCAGCAGGTTCTGAGTTATTATGAATCAAACAGGCTCATTTTTAACACAGATATCCTACATTAGTAGCTCCAGAGCAGCACGCTGATTAACAGCTAGTAAAAACCCGTCTCCTTGTGGTGACGCCAGAGAGAGAACGATTTTAGAGCTAGCTTAGCAATCCAAAATGGAGATGGATGGAAACAATGATTGTCTGGAACTGATTTGAGTTTGAACCATCTGCCGATTTAAGCTCAGGTAGTGATGCTGAGGAACACAGAGGAAACACCTTTCAGGTCAGAACTATCCAGAGCGGACCTCTGTCCACCACAGTCAGACTCAGCGTCTAAAGCCGGGCATACACTGTACGATTTTTTCAATAATTGCATGCAGTATGGAAATGTACACTTCCTGGCCAAAAAAAAAGTCGCCACCAAAAAAAAAAGGTCACTCACTCTAATACTTTGTTGGACCGCCTTTAGCTTTGATTACGGCACATATTCGCTGTGGCTCCCTGAACCAGTCTTTCACAATATGAGCCCGATGAATCCTGGCATTGTCATCTTGCAATATGCCTGTGCCATCAGGAAAGAAAAAGTCCATTGATGGAATCACCTGGTCATTCAGTATATTCAGGTAGTCAGTTGACCTCATTCTTTGAGCACATACTGTTGCTGAACCTAGACCTGAGCAACTGCAGCAACCCCAGATCATAACACCGCCCCCACAGGCTTGTACAGTAGGCACTAGGCATGGTGGGTGCATCACTTCACCTGCCTCTCTTCTTACCCTGATTGGCCCATCACTCTGGAACAGGGCCAATCTGGATTCATCAGACCACATGACCTTCTTCCATTGCTCCACAGTCCAATCTTTATGCTCCCTAGCAAATTGGAGCCTTTTTTTCACTGATTAGTGGTTTTCTTACGGCTACACAGCTGTTCAGTCCCAATCCCTTGAGTTCCCTTGGCATGGTGCGTGTGGAAATGCTCTTACTTTCAGTATTAAACACAGCCCTGAGTTCTACTGATGTTTTTCTTCGATTTGATCTCACCGCACGTTTAAGTGATCGCCGAGGACGATCATTCAGGATTTTTTTGCGGCCACATTTCTTCCTTGAAGATGATGGGTCGCCACTATCCTTCCAGTTTTTAATAATGCGTTGGACAGTTCTTAAGCCAATTTTAGTAGTTTCTGCATCTCTTTAGATGTTTTTTCTGCTTGATGCAGGCCAATGATTTGACCCTTCTCAAACAGACTAACATCTTTTCCACGATTACGGGATGCGTCTTTCAACACGGTTGTTTAGGAAATAAGAAACAAGTCATTGCACCAGTTTGGGTTGAATAACTTGTTGCCAGCTGAAAGATAATCGCCCACGCAGTAATTATCCAATAGGAGGCTCGTACCTATTTGCTTAGTTGAATCCAGGTGGCAACTTTTTTTTTGGCCAGGCAGTGTATGTTTTCACACTGTACGTCCCAAAACTACATCGGACTCAGCTCTGAAGTGAGACGTCACTACTGGGACTCGTCTATCTGGAAGCCAAACGAGTAGAAGAGGAATATGAAGCTAACTAGAGTGAAACGCGCTGCCTTGGCTATTTGTGCCATTTTGTGCTGAAAGCCCTAAAAAGAACGATGTATTTGGACAAAGACATGCTGAGCAAATGTGGCTACTATGGTCTGTCAATTTAACAGAAAGAACTCCATTTCACTCATTGCACCCCCACCATGCTTCTGGGTTGCCCTCTGAGAGGAAGAAGAATCCTTGTTTGGTCACTGAGCGATTTAACCCTATGACCACCTTACAACAACCGACTGCATTTCCAACATGTTTGATTTTCTCCAGACCTCACGATTCCTGATGGGGAGGTGGTCTTGAGAGGCTGATCACCCATTACCCCCTGTATACTACACGATGCACGATCAGGCAGAAAGTCAAGCCGAACGAAAAATTCTCGTACAACTGGAGAATCAGCCTGAAAAGGGCAAAAAAAACGTACAGTGTACGCCTGGATTAATAGACCCGCTGTAGCTTCTGTTGAAAACAAATGGTACGGAAACGCCTTGCTAAGCATCTGGTGCAGATAGTTTAACCAGTTATTAGTTTATAAATCTATAAAGTTTATAAATCTAAATTAGAATATAATTTAAATGATCATGATTTTAAAATAAATCATCAATCGCTGTTAAATAGAATTACATACAATATTCTTAAAGGTATAGCTAGCAACTCCAACCGCCCTTCACTGCCAGGATTGTCAGATCTGCCTGTTTCCAGACTAAAAACAATGTAAACCCCCCCACCAGTTCATTTCTGAATATTTTTATAATTTCTCATCATCGTCTCGGCTTTGATGAAGCTGGAAGTGAAAGCGCTGTGAGCTACATCAGTCCGTGTCTGACTCAAATGCCGGCTAATGTTCTTTCTCTCCCCCGGGGTTGAAGCCGTAGTTACGACTGTAGGCAGCATTACACCGTAGTGTTTTATTGAGCAACCAAGCAACCTTTACTCAAAATGTTCCAAGCACAGAAGACACACCATAGTGCTAAAACATCTCCTAATCTCATCTGACCTGCTTCCACTCACTTTGAAAACGGCTCAGGACGCTTAGGAAACTTAAATAAACCAACGCCATCCTTATTGGCTTTGAAGGAAACAGCTGCGGACGGCACTGTGCAAAGTTAAAGCTCAATCTGAATCCCCGAAAACTTCATTCGCTGTCCATAACAAAACCTGCTTACTCTGTCACTGGGTGGCGTTAGAGTCCTCTGAATGACAGTGTTGTTTTAATCAAAATTATTTATTATGGTGTGCTTGTAAGTATTACAATTTACAGTAAGTTATAGCCATTATGTCTACTGCCACTGGCAGTCAGAAAGGAATGAAACAAGTGTCATGATTTTATTTTAGGCTCTGACCCACATGCAGAAGACCAAACAGAGAGACCAGGGGAAAGTTCAACAGGTTTTATTGAGAGTTGGTGATAACAGTCCAGTGCTGCTCTGAACTCTGTTGAACCGGAACTGAAAAATTAAGGGGAAGATTCTGTGGTTAGTTCAGGCTCAGTGTGAAATTTGTGTCTTAGAATAGAAGAAGGGAATTAAGGTTGCGGACTCATGTTTCCAGAAAAAGGTGTCTCTTGTTGAATCCAGTCGGTGTGGGTTGTTCCAGTGAATTTCTTGCTCGTTGGAGGGCGGACAGGGCTTACCCAGATTGCAGTTTTTCCTTGAGGAACGGAGGAGCTGACTGCCACTTAATTTTCCTGCGGTACTTGAACGGTACTTGTGAAGATGAATCCCCTGCTCAGAGAGACGCCTAAATAATTCTTGGGGCAAAGGTAGATCCAAACCACAAGCTCGTATCCTCAGCTCAGTTTGGTGCTCTTCCAGGCGGGAGAAGGTCCAAAACATCCAGTTTGCAGGATGACTTCCTGCCAAGAGGCAAAGACAAAACAACAAGGTTAAACTAAGGTTGATAAAAACTCAGTTTGACTCAGTAAAATTCAGCTTGGCTAGAGTACCCAAAACTGGCAAACACTCTGACGTCGAGGTAGTGGCAGTCAGCAGCTTAAGAGTCCTCCGGTAATGAGGCAACCATCCGCAGGTGTGTTAGGAGGCCAACCAAAACCAGGCCCTGCCTGGTGGTGGAGGGAAGACAAACAAAAACACAACCCACACAAACTGGATCCCTAACAACAAGACTCTACTATACTGTGAGCAACACTCACAACCCTGATGTCAGATGCAGCCACATGTCCACGGATGCAGCCTGAACATATTGGATCAGCCAACGTAAGCAAGACCACATTTGAAAAAGTAAAGGAGTCAGATAAAATTGATTGTTTGTCTTAGTAGGTTGTTTAAGGTAAAAAAAAAAAAGTTGTCTTAGGATTTTAGATGCAGTAAATGTTGCATGTTCAATAGTAAACTTTCCGTAAATCTATAAATTTAGAGTTCATCTATCTTTATTTATTTGTGAAAGGTAATAATTAATATTCACGCACTATTCACACATAAAGAAGCTGCTTAAAATATCATACAGTGGGTGAAATAAGTATTTGACCCATTGTTGATTTTTCAGGTTTCCCCGCTTACAAAGAATGCAACAATCAACAATTTTACTCATTGCACATTCTAACAGTGAGAGACAGAATCCCAAAGAAACTTCCAGAAATTCACATCATATGAATTTATAAAAATTAATAACCATCTGATGACGAAAAACAAGTAGATGACCCCCTACCAAACAGCAAGTATTCTGGCTCCTATACGCCAGTTAGTCTTTCTTTAAGACACAGCCCCAATCCCAACCAATTATCTACATCAAATACACCTGCCTCACCTCGTTACCTATATTAAAGGCACCTGTCAACACCCAAACAACCAGCATCAAACATCACCACCATGGGCAAGACCAAAGAGCTTTCTACGTACATCAGGGACAAGATTGTTGATCTGCAAGAGGCTGGGATGGGCTACAAGAGAATCGGAAAGCAACTTGGAGAGAAAAGATCAACTGTCGGTGCAGTTATCAGGAAATGGAAGAAGCACCACACCACTGCCAACCTCCCTCGGTCTGGGCCTCCACACAAGATCTCGCCTCGTGGGGTGTCCCTGATCATGCGAACGGTGAGGAATCATCCCAAAATCACAAGGGGGAAACTGATGAATCAACTGAAGGCAGCTAGGACCACAGTAACAAAAGAAACGGTTGGTAACACACTACGCCGTCATGGATTGAAATCCTGCAGCGCATGCAAGGTCCCCCTGCTCAAGAAGAAACATGTACAGGCCCGCATGAAGTTCGCCATTCACCACCTGGACGACTCAGAAGAGGCCTGGAAGAAGGTGATGTGGTCAGATGAGACCAAAATAGAACTTTTTGGCCTCAACTCAACTCATCGCGTTTGGAGGGCAAAGAACACCGTGTACAACCCAAAGAACACCATCCCCACCGTCAAGCATGGTGGTGGCAACATCATGATATGGGGGTGCTTTTCAGCCAAGGGGACGGGACAACTCCATGGTATTGAGGGGAGGATGGACAGGGCCATGTATGGAGGAATTCTGGACCAACATCTCCTTCCCTCAGTGAGACAGCTGAAGATGGGTGGAGGATGGGTGTTTCAGCACGACAACGACCCTAAGCACACCGCCAAAGCAACAAAAGAGTGGCTGAAGAAGAAGCACATCAAGGTTCTGGAGTGGCCAAGCCAGTCTCCAGACCTGAATCCAATTGAAAATCTTTGGAGGGAGCTTAAAATTCAAGTTGCCAGGCGACAACCTGGGAACCTGAATGATTTGGAGGCTGTCTGCAGGGAGGAGTGGGCCAAAATCCCTGCCGAAATGTACAAAAACCTTTTGACCAACTATAAAAACAGTTTGACATCTGTGCTGGCCAATAATAGCTTTTCTACAAAATATTAACACGCTGTTTGTCCAGAAGGTCAAATACTTGTTTTTCCTCATCAGATGGTTATCAATTTTAATAGCTTTAATTTTAATAACTCTGGAATTTTCTTTGGGATTCTGTCTTTCACTGTTAGAATGTATATATGATTAAAATTATAGATTGTTGCATTCTTTGTAAGTGGGCAATCCTGCAAAATCAGCAAGGGGTCAAATACCTATTTCCCCTACTGTATATATTACATTTATAAAGTGAAACGGTTATAAATTTTCTTGATATATGGTTTTTGATTAAAATGTGATTAATTGCGGATAATTACGGGCTCTGTAATTACCTCAATTAAAAATTTAAATCAACTCCCACCACTAAAATAAACAAGAACAATAATGCAAAACCTAACCATGATAATTCTTCTGCATATCAGACTGTTTTCATCTGCGATGTTTCTGTGGTTCTTCATCAAATAGACCATCCTCCTACCTTCTATGAAGAGCTTGCTGAGAAGCTGGAAAACATTGCAAGGAGCTCCACCAAGTCGACGCCAAGTTCAACATTGCCGACCTTGACAGGTACTCACACATTCCTATTTTTTTTTATCACGGATCAAAAATAAGTACATTCATCTCACTGATTAAGTTGAGTTTAATGTACCATGTATATATGGAGTCATTGACTGAATTGCCTTTTAAAAACGGATCATCCAATTCAATACATACATTTCAGTTTGATTCCAGTTGTATAAAATTTGTTATGACCTTTAAGATAAAATCTTTTTTACTGAGTGTAAGCAATGCATTTTTTTTAATCCTTTGTCATTGGGGATGACAGTTCTATTTTCAGTTGGCCTGAATGGTTTCTTTTATACACAACGATGTGGAAGATCCAGTTGGGGAACTAAATCATTGCTTCCATATTTTTTCAGTTACTGATAATGATGAAGTGGTGAATGATCTGGTGAAGCTGCTGTGTTCAGAAGGAGATGCTATAGACACTAAGGTAAGTTTAACCTAACAATGACTACTGCTGTAATCTTATGAGCACTTGAAAACAGCAACGTTTGCTAAATTTCCTCTGACAGATCCAGGAGGACTCGCTGCTGCGCAACAAATTAAACCGTATGTCCTACAGATCCTTTAAGAACATTCTAGACTTCTTTGGCAAAAGTCAGGTCACTCAGGCCCCCCCCTTAAAACCGGCTGCCAGTCCAACACTACAACGGATAGCTATCTCTATGGATATGTCCCGGCGGATAGTGACAGCCACAGGGACGCAGCGGATGAGGGAAAATGCAGAACGCTACATGAACACCTTCGTCCCCTGGGTCAAGAGTCATGGAGGATGGGTAAGTGATCCCGATAAAGGCACATCTCAGATGGTCAAAACATGAACTGTAATGATCTCAGGAAGTTGGACCCAGAATTCGAGGCAAGACAGGCTGTGGGAAAGTTCAAAACATTTATTTTAACAAACAGGAGCGCGGGGCTGCTCGTCTCTGCAGAGATAGGAGAATACAGGTCAGTGACTGGATGTAGAGCTGAATACGTCTTGGAGCTAAGTCACTGACCTGATTCAAAGTTCAGTCCGTTCACGGAGAACACAGCTGAATCCAGGAGGGAGGTTACCGCAGTTGCGGCGGCCACGCCCCCAGAGTTCCTAGAGAGCGAGCGGAGTGGGCGCCAGCCAACGGCGAGCAGAAACAGAGTCCAGAAAGGAAATCCAAGGTCGAAGTCAGAAGACAGTTCCAGGTTCAGAAGCCTGTTGAATACAGGATCAGATCAGACGAACAGAGCAGACAGGGGCAAGGCAAAACTCGAGATCCTTAGGGTAGAAACTGGTCATAATCAGGAAAACAGACAGACTAAAGATTGGTAGAAAACGCCTCACCAAAACACTCTAGTAACCTGGCGCTGATAGAAGGCGAACACACAACCTAAATAGCAGAGGAACCAGGTGGAAATGATCGGCCATAATCAGCCGCAGAACCAATTAGACAGGGGAGCAAGGAGGAAAGGAAAAAAACAAACCATCAGCGCCAAGATCATGACATGAACAAAAAGTTTATTTTCCCCAAAAAGCTAAAACAAGAATCCCCTGGACTTTGTTTCCAAGATTGAAGACTTTTCGCTTCACATTCTGGAAGCTTTTTCAATTCAAAATGTCAGAAATAGCGTTGAGTTCGAGGCTTTATAGAGTGGACCAAAAACAAAGCCTTGTTTTGGCTTTGAATGCATACTGAACGGAAATGGACAAACGGGTCCACCCCTTAGGAATGGGCGTCGTTTGGGTTCTTTGTTAGCCTGCAATACTGGATACCTGTGTATGTCTCTGAAAGGGGGGTCGTTAGAGGGAATAGGTGGTCTGGCTGAACAAAAAGTTGATTGATTTTACTAATTTAGTTCAACGAGCCAAACTCCCCCTTATGTCATAAGATTATTAATTGATTTATTAGCACTGTAGCATTCAGCAATGTGGCATACCCACTCAGCAAAAATTGGTTGAAAACACTTTGAGTAGAGGGCAGGTCCAAACATCTACCTTTGGTTGAAAAGTGAACCCTTCAAACACCAGACGTCATTTAGACGTTGGTTTTTAGGCTACATCTGGCTGGTCGGTCATAGTCTGGATTTAGTCCAAAAATTGGGTCGGTTCGTCTGATTTTGACCCATTTTAGTCCAATAAAAGACATTGAACAGACATTAGAAACCCAGTTTTTATCATCTTTTCAATTACCTGAAAATAAGGCTTTTTACCCTTCACTTTCCAAACAATTGTAGACGTTGTTTGGATGTAAATCATGTCGTCTTTTCAATACAAATTTTCACTCAGTGTCGGATCGACCAGATTTGGCCTAAAAACCAAAGTCTAAATGACTTCTGGTGTTTGGGGGGTATGGTGTGGTCCCCTAAAATCATGTTTCACTCCTGCTTTGGCCTACATAATTAAAAAGAGACCTGCTTACTAAACATTTCAGGGTTTCTGCTACATGTAATTGATGGTGGCACACCGGGACACCTTCAGAATGAATGAAACAGTAAATCAATGTACACCATGTGTTAGAACATACTGTTTATCAATGAACCTATTCAATTCAATTCAGTTTATTTATATAAATTTACAGCACATTTAATCTCAAGGCACTTTACATTTCACCAGATCATCCAGTCAAATTGTTTCAAAATTTTCTATCTCATGAAAACCAGCTGATTGCATCGACTCATGTCCTCAAAGGCAATCCCTCACACCAATCATGTTTGTAGTGACAGTGGAGAGGAAAAACTCCTTTTTAACAGGAAGAAACCTCCATCAGAACCAGGCTCAGTGTGAGCGGCCATCTGCTGAGGCCGACTGGAGTTCAAGGAGACAGAAGCATATGTACAAAAAGACGCAGAGATATAAAAGGCAACCGTAGCCAGCTGCACAGGCGGCCCCCTCCAGGAAACACACAGACAGCCTTTAGATTTTCTAAATGGTTTTATTCTGTGCTTTGACTTTGTTTCTGCCATTGTGTTTGTATCTTTTATACGGTGACCTTGAGTGTCCAGAAAGGCGCCTTTAAAATAAAATGTATTATTACTATATGGCGTATTAGAACCATTTCAGTTGATGACATCATCACCATACATTTATTCCATTGGGAAAAATGTTACCCATAAAATCGACGGCCAGTGGGAGTTCTAGTAGTATCCGAACTCTTGGAGTCCTGGTGTTAAACAAAAACTGAATATCATTAACAAATAAAACAAACAAACAAACAAAAAAACAAAACAAAACAATGAACAGCAGATGCCGGGAGCGGGAATGCGTTCGCTTCACTCGATTTCCAGGCATAGCTACTAAATGCACCAATGAATCGGCCAACGAATACATGTATAAACTGATACGGATACAGGACCCCCCTCCTTGAACCGCCACCTTAACGTGGTGGAAAGGGTTTCAGTGCCTGGGTGATCCCAGAGGCTATGTTGTCGGGGGCTAAATGCCCCTGGTAGGGTCTCCCAAGGCAAACAGGCTCTGGGTGACAGGTCAGACGAAGAGCGGTTCAAAAACCCTTATGATGAGCACAACAACGAGGCAAGTGACGTCGCCCGGTACGGCGGAGCCGGGACCCCACCCTGGAGCCAGGCCTGGGGTTGGGGTTCGTTGGCGAGCACCTGGTGGTCGGGTTCTTCCCCGCGGGACCCGGCCGGGCCCAGCCCGAAGGAGCGACGCGAGGCCATCCCCCAGTGGGCCCACCACCTGCAGGGGGAACCATGAGGGACCGGTGCAAAGTGGATTGGGCGGCAGCCAGAGGCGGAGACCTCGGCTACCTGATCCGCGGGCACTTAAACTGGCTCTGGGGACGTGGAATGTCACCTCACTGGCGGGGAAAGAGCCCGAACTTGTGCGGGAGGTGGAGCGATACCAGCTAGAAATAGTTGGACTCACCTCTACGCACAGCCAGGGCTCTGGAACCGAGCTCCTTGAGAGAGGCTGGACTCTCTTCTACTCTGGAGTGACCCGCGGGGAGAGGCGGAGGGCAGGGGTGGGGCTGCTTGTCTCCCCCCAGCTCAGCCGTCTCGTGTTGGAGTTCACCCCTGTAGACGAGAGGGTTGCATCCCTTCGCCTTCGGGTTGAGGGGAGGACTCTGACAGTTGTTTCGGCCTATGGGCTGAACGGCAGTACAGAGTACCAATTCAATTCAATTCAGTTTATTTATATAGCGCCAAATTCACAACACATGTCATCTCAAGGCACTTTACAGTTCAACCAGATCATACAGTCAAATTGATACAAAGTTTTCTGTCTAAGGAAAACCAGTTGATTGCATAGACTCATTGACTCAAATACAATCCCCCACACTAAGCATGCTTGTAGCGACAGTGGAGAGGAAAAACTCCCTTTTAACAGGAAGAAACCTCCAGCAGAACCAGGCTCAGTGTGAGCGGCCATCTGCCGAGGCCGACTGGGGTTCAAGGAGACGGAAGCAGAGACACAAAAAGCAGCTGTAAAAGGCGGCCCCGTCCAGGAAACACACAGCCAGGCAGACGAGCTCCGAGCCAGCTCCCATTCCAGAGGACGAAGAGAGCACATCCACTCAGTCACTGTCAGAGAAACAGGACTACACTGGAAAACAGGCCGATCTCCAACATCTATAAACAAGGGTGTTGATGGAAGCAGCACAGCTGATGTTTCTTTCCAGGATGACGTCACAGCCAAACAGGAACAGACGAGGCAAAGCTACTCTGAGGAAAAGCAGAGAGAGCAGAAGGTTAGAGATTGAACTAACAGATTCTGCAGAATAGGAGAACAGAGAGAGAATGAAGCAGAATGATGAAATGGGGGTCCCTATGTCCTCCAAAAGTCTAAGCCTATAGCAGCATAACTATAGAGATAGCTCAGGATAACCTGAGCCACTCTAACTATAAGCTTTATCAAAAAGGAAAGTTTTAAGCCTAGCCTTAAAAGTAGACAGGGTGTCTGCCTCACGGACTAAAACTGGTAGTTGGTTCCACAGGAGAGGAGCCTGATGACTAAAAGATCTGCCTCCCATTCTACTTCTAGAAATTCTAGGAACCACTAGTGAACCTGCAGATTGAGAGCGAAGTGCTCTGTTAGGAACATAAGGAACAATCAGATCTCTGATATCAGATGGAGCTTGGCCATTTAAGGCTTTATATGTGAGAAGGAGGATTTTAAATTCTATTCTGGATTTAACAGGAAGCCAATGAAGAGAAGCCAGGATAGGCGAGATATGATCTCTCTTTTTCATTTTCATTAGAACTCTGGCTGCAGCATTTTGGATCAGCTGAAGGCTTTTAACTACAGTTTGTGGACTTCCTGATAGTAAAGAATTACAATAGTCCAGCCTTGAAGTAACAAATGCATGGACTAGTTTCTCAGCATCACCCCTGGACAGGAGATTTCTAATTTTTGCAATGTTCCTCAGATGAAAGAAGGATATTCTAGAAACCTCTTTGATATGGGATTTAAATGACAGGTCCTGATCAAAAATAACACCAAGATTTTTTACTTTATTATCTGAAATCAGTTTAATCCCATCCAAATGAAGTGACTGGCTAATCAGCTTCTTTTTCAGAGACTCTGGTCCAAAGACTATAACTTCTGTTTTGTCTGCATTCAGAAGCAGAAAGTTGAGAGTCATCCAGGTTTTTATGTCTTCAAGACATGCCTGTAATCTATGTAATGGGTTAGCTTCATCTGGATTTATAGCCAGATATAGCTGGGTATCATCAGCATAACAGTGGAAATTAATCCCATGCTGTCTAATAACTCTACCAATTGGGAGCATGTATAAAGTAAAGAGAATTGGTCCTAGCACTGATCCCTGTGGTACTCCACAGGTAACCTGTGAGCATGTGGAAGATTTGTCATTAACATGAACAAACTGAATTCGATCAGATAGATAAGATTTAAACCAGTCTAGTGCTGTTCCTTTAATTCCAACAAAATATTCAAGTCTTTCTAAAAGAATATTATGGTCAACTGTATCAAATGCAGCACTAAGATCCAACAGGACGAGCACAGATACAAGTCCATTATCTGAGGCCATGAGAATATCATTAGTGACTTTCACCAGAGCTGTTTCAGTGCTAGGATGAGCTCTAAAGCCAGACTGAAACTCTTCAAAAAGTTCATTATGGTGTAAGTGATCGCAAACTTGTTTGGCAACTACTTTCTCAAGAATTTTGGATAAGAAAGGAAGATTGGATATAGGTCTATAATTAACCAAGTCATCTGGGTCAAGAGACGGTTTCTTAAGCAGAGGTATAATTACAGCACCTTAAAAGCTTTAGGTACATATCCCTGTAACAGAGATAGATTAATCACATCTAAAATGGAGGAGGAGATCAAAGGGAATACCTCCTTAAATAACCTGGTTGGAACTGGATCTAACATACAAGTTGAAGGCTTAGATGAGGACAATAATTTTGCTAATTCAGAAAGTTCAACTGGATCGAGGCAGTCTAAACCCGGTTCAGATTCCATGACTACCTCAGGTACAATCGCGGATAGAGGAGTGCTTATGATCTTATTTTTAATAAGATCAATCTTATTTATAAAGAATCCCATAAAATTATTGCTGCTAAGAGCAGGTGGAATGGACGGTTCAACAGAGCTATGGCTCTGGGTGAGTTTGGCAACTGTATTAAAAAGAAATCTAGGATTATTCTTATTCTCCTCTATTAATGAGGAGAAGTATGCTGCTCTTGCTTTACAAAGGGTCCTCTTATACAGCAGTACACCATTTTTCCAGACTTGGAAGGACTCCCGCAGGCCAGTGGAGCGATATTTTCTCTCCAGTTTCCTAGCATTTTGCTTCAAAGTACGCAGCTCTGCATTAAACCAAGGAGCAAGCTTTCTATTTTTAACGGTTTTCATTTTCAAAGGAGCTGCGTTGTCTAAGGCGGTACGCAGAGAACTAGCAACCCCATCAACAAAATCATCAACCTGTGAAGGGGAATAAGCTATGCTTTTGCACACTGCAGCACTGCTCAGTGACACAGAGGCCTTCTTAGCATCCCTGGGGAGGGTGTTAGAAAGCACCCCTCCCGGGGATTTCATCATTCTACTGGGAGACTTCAACGCCCACGTGGGAAACGACAGTGACACCTGAAGGGGCATGATCGGGAGGAACGGGCCCCCAGCTCTGAACCCGAGTGGTGTCTCATTATTGGACTTCTGTGCAACTCACGGATTGTCCATAATGAACACCATGTTCAGGCATAAGGATGTCCATCGGTGCACTTGGCACCAGGACACCCTAGGCCGAAGGTCGATGATCGACTTTGTAGTCGTATCTTCTGATCTTCGGTCTGCATGTCCTGGACACTCGGCTGAAGAGAGGGGCGGAGCTGTCCACCGACCACCACCTGGTGGTGAGCTGGATACGCTGGAAGAGGAGGAAGCCTGAAAGACTCGGCAGGCCCAAACGTGTAGTGAGGGTCTGCTGGGAACGTCTGGTGGAACCCTCGGTCAGGGACGTGTTCAACTCCCACCTCCGGGAGAGCTTCTCTCAGGTTCCGAGGGAGGTTGGAGACATGGAGTCCGAATGGGCTCTGTTCTCTGCCTCTATTGTCGATGCAGCTGCCCGTAGCTGTGGCCGTAAGGTTTGCGGTGCCTGTCGTGGTGGCAATCCCCGAACCTGGTGGTGGACACCGATAGTAAGGGATGCTGTCAAGCTGAAGAAGGAGTCCTATCGAGCTTGGCTGGCTTGTGGGACTCCTGAAGCAGCAAGCAGGTACCGTGAGGCCAAGCGTGTCATGGCCCGGGCGGTTGCAGAAGCAAAATCTCGGGCCTGGGAGGAGTTCGGAGAGGCCATGGTAAAAGACTATCGGTTGGTCTCAAAGCGATTCTGGCAAACTGTTCGGCGCCTCCGGAGGGGAAAGCAGTGCTTTGCTAACACTATTTTCAGTGGGAGTGGGGAGCTGCTGACCTTGAAGGAGGATATTGTCGGGCGGTGGATGGAATACTTTGAGGATCTCCTCAACCCGACGGACACGCCTTCCATGGGGGAAGAAGAGACGGGGTGCTTGGGGCTGGAATCGTTCATCACCCAGGCCGAAGTCACCGAGATGGTCAAATAACTCAACGGTGGCAAGGCTTCTGGGGTGGACGAGATCCATCCAGAGTATCTTAGAGCTCTGGATGTTGTCGGGCTGTCATGGTTGACACGTCTCTTCAACATCGCATGGAGGTCGGGGACAGTTCCCCTGGATTGGCAGACTGGGGTGGTGGTTCTCCTCCACAGGAAGGGGGACCGGAGGGTGTGTTCCAATTATCAGGGAATCACACTTCTCAGCCTCCCTGGAAAGGCCTATGCCAGGGTGCTGGAGAGGAGAGTCCGGCTGATTGTCGAACCTCGGCTGCAGGAGGAGCAGTGTGGTTTTCGTCCTGGCCGTGGAACAGTGGACCAGCTCTACACCCTCTGCAGGGTGCTTGAGAGTTCATGGGAGTTTGCCCAACCAGTCCACATGTGTTTTGTGGACTTGGAGAAGGCATTTGACCGTGTTCCTCGTGCTGCCCTGTGGGGGGTGCTCCAGGTGTATGGAGTCGGGGGCCCTTTATTAGGGGCCATCCGTTCTCTGTACAAGCGGAGCAGGAGTCTGGTTCGCATTGCTGGCACTAAGTCGGACCTGTTCCCAGTGAATGTTGGACTCCGACAGGGCTGCCCTCTGTCACCGGTCCTGTTCATAACTTTTATGGACAGGATTTCTAGGCCCAGCCAAGGACCGGAGGGGGTCTGGTTCGGGGAACAGCGGATCTCGTCCCTGCTTTTTGCGGATGACGTAGTTCTGCTGGCTCTCTCCTGGCAAGACCTACAGCGTGCGCTGGGGCGGTTCGCAGCCGAGTGTGAAGCGGCCGGGATGAGAATCAGCTCCTCCAAGTCCGAGGCCATGGTTCTCGACCGGAAAAAGGTGGCTTGTCCCCTTCAGGTTGGAGGAGAGTCCCTGCCTCAAGTGGAGGAGTTCAAGTATCTTGGGGTCCTGTTCACGAGTGAGGGAAGAATGGAGCGGGAGATCGATAGACGGATCGGTGCAGCTGCTGCAATAATGCGGATGCTGCACCGGTCTGTCGTGGTGAAGAGAGCTGAGCGAAAAGGCAAAGCTCTCAATTTACTGGTCGGTCTACGTTCCTACCCTCACCTATGGTCATGAAATTTGGATCATGACCGAAAGAACGAGATCCCGGATACAAGCGGCTGACATGAGCTTTCTCCGCAGAGTGGCTGGGCTCTCCCTTAGAGATAGGGTGAGGAGCTTGGTCATTCGGGAGAGGCTCAGAGTAGAGCCGGTTCTCCTCCACATCGAGAGGAGTCAGTTGAGGTGGCTCGGACATCTTCTTCGGATGCCCCCTGGACGCCTCCCTCGGGAGGTCTTCCAGGCACGTCCCACCGGGAGGAGGCCCAGGTGACGACCCAGGACACGCTGGAGAGACTACGTCTCTCGGCTGGCCTGGGAGCGCCTAGTGCTTCCCCCAACAGAGCTGGAGGAGGTGTCTGCAGAGAGGGAAGTCTGGGAGTCTCTGCTTAGTCTGCTACCCCCGCGACCCGGTTCCGGATAAAGCGGGAGAGAACGAGTACGAGTACGAGGATACAGGACCAAAATTTAATGAAAATCGATTATTTGAACTCATCACAATGTGTGAAGTAGCTGTATGATGTTTGTGACCTTTTGAATAATTGTACTGCTTTGTAGAGACGGCCTTGTGTATTAACAAAGTTTTGGTGTCTCTCAGCTCATGCATGGTTGTTTTTTATCTGCAGGAAAATGTTCTCAGTGGAGAGGATACTGAAGAGTGGGATTGAGGGTCTCAGTGTCTTTTTATTGCAAACCAGCGATGACCTGGACGATGCCGACCGACAGAGGGGCAGAGGAGTCCTCTTTTAGATCTTTTACATGGAAGGAGCCTCTTTGATCTTTGCAGGTTTCGAGTTCTTCCAGTTCATCTTTTTTATTTTTACTTTAACACTCAAAGACTTATTTATCTCACTGCTGCTGCTAAGCATTTCTGTTTAAGGACTTGTCAGTTTGACATGTAATGTTACCTCAATTAGGGAAAGATTTACATTTAAATCACAGCTAAAGCCGCTCAAACCAGTGTGTCACATGGGAAGACTCAAAAAAAAAAAAATAACAAAAAAAAAAGCAAACAACCACTTTATTACCTGCTGGATCATCCCACAGTGAGACAACAAGCTCATTGTTATACATGATGCTTTATGGCAAGTTTTATTGTCAGATGTGAGTAGAAAAGCTGCAGGAGTATAAACAGCTTTTTAATTATTATTATTACCTTGAAAAACAGATAACTGCAGAAAAATGTTCTTATGTTATTTGAACCAAAAACGAAAAAAATTATCTGATTCCTTTTTGAAAAAAAAAAAAAGAAAGACTGGTTTCTGTGATGCTTTCTAAAACATATATTTAGATAAAGAGAGGGAGAGTTAGTGTTAAACAAATGACAAGCCTCTGTCTATCACTGCCTGTGTATATGGAAATAAAACTGCTGGGGTTTGGGATGATAATACTGCCTCTATACAAACAACTTCAAGATTTTTCTCCACATGTAAAAACCTTTGGGAACATTTTGTGCAGGATGACATTTATCTAACTATGATTAATGGGCATAAACACCTGAGCACACATTCTCTGCTAGATGCTAGAAATCCGTTTGTAATGGAGTCTCCCTCTGATGTGAGTGAGTAGGAGAGTTTACTGTATATCTGGTACGCTACGTCTTTATGTACTGATCTAAACTGTATGAGTGACGTTAAAAACCATGAATGAGTTGATATTCATCGTCCAAATGTCAGCTGTTACTGTCACTAAAGTCTTCACTGTTTTGCCTTTTTCGTTCCTTTTTTTTAATGGAAAAACTTGTTAAATATTTGATAATGTGAAAAAGGTTCAAGTTTGACATTGTTGTTGCATCAGAGTTTTATATATGATGTTTACTGTAAGCAGGATGCTCTTCCAGTCATTTTTGTTTACATCATGTTCTTTTAAATGATTTCCTGTATTAATGTGAATAAGTGTTATATTCACTATGTAATACCCCTTTCCCACTGGGAGAGAAAAAAACATTTAAACCAGGGAACAATGGGATTGTAGTGGCAGTGGGAACGGCTCACTGATGTGCATCTACCCGGGTCAAACGACTCGGCATAAGATCCCCTCGGCTGATCGGCATCTGTGGGAACGCCGGTGCCGGTGTCCTGTCAGACCAGCATACCCATAGTCAATACCCGTTTATCCCAGGAGTTCATCCCTTTAGTTTTGTATGAAAAATAAACTTTAAACTACCTCAATGGGCGTGTATTACTTTAGTCGTGTACAAAAAAAAAAAATATTTAATTACTTACTTTTTGGTGTTTTTTGAAGCTTATTGTGATCTGACCTTAAATAGTTTTTTGTTCATGACTAAAGGGATACAGGTAATTTAAAGTTTATTTTTATTTTTTATACAAAACTAAAGGGATAAAATCTGATGTCTTCGCATGTGTATCGACTATAGGTATGCTGGTCTAAGGGGGTATGCTCATCTGACAGAACATCGGGTTGACGCGCCAATTTACGTGCCTCCATTGCACACCAAAACACCGCGCCAGCCAAGTTTGATCTAAAAATCAATTATCTAAAAAGCAGAAACAACTCTGCTTACATTTGATAAACATGGAGCAGCTCTGGTAAGAGCGATTCAGACAGATAATAGAGCGAAACAATAAAGCACACTGACTATGCCCTGGCTTCCTTATGTTGCTCTCCATTGTTTGCTTTCCTGAGATGATGTCAGCAGTGAGGGGACAGAGGCCACACCGCTGCCAGCGAGGGGTTAGACCAGCTTTTTTTGCCAGTGGGAAGGGAGCCAAATGCTAATTGTTAGCAGGTTGACCCATGTTTAAAAAAACTTTGCATTAACTCGCTATTTTCAGGGGGAGGGAGGCCTAATGGGAATGACGATGATACAGTCAGAACTGAGCCTGCTGATTTCTGTTTGTATCAGAGGCAACAGGAGACGTGACTGTAAGGTTTAATTGTGTCTCTAAGCCATCAGTTACTCAAACTTAACTCTGCTTTGCACAGGAATTAAAAAGGGAAAATCATGTTCTTTCAAGTGTTACATGATCGTTGTGTTTTTGCAGTTTGCCTTTATGTTCAGCAGAGAGGAAAATATTCCGTATTTATGAAACTGTTGATCTGTCCCGTCATGCACTGTTTCCAACATCCAACCTCTGTGATTAACTTTGTAACATTAAGTGTTAAAATCTAATCTGTAAACTACAATCTGTTTCTTTTTTTATTAACAGATAAAGAAAATATTGGTATTTATTGTTTTATGTAAACTCCAACCTCTATAAAAATGTCCAACAGTAACAACTATTTATACATTTAATTGTGTTACATTCAATGGGCCCAGCAATCAGGGATGCCATATAAATGTTGTGATTTTATGTTCTTTTCTATTCCCAGCCCGCTGGGAATTTATGTTTCTGATACTTTAAGATGCTTATTGCCCTCCCCTGTAGGGATGGTAAAATATCTTATTTAACCAGATATTATTTCAGCTGTTATATACTGTTTATGACACACAGTCCTACTAACTGTGTGTTAGAACAATAGATGAAAGAGTGATTCAAGCACTAATCATGGTCAAACAGTTATTTCTGCACATACATGGAATAAATTCACCACAACTTCTGTTCAAAATAAAGAGTTTATTAACAAAAATCATTCAGATCCAAGTCACACATATTTCAGTTTAACACTCTTAACTAAAACTAGTGAAACTCAACTAAACTAAACTAACTACTATAGACAAAGAGGAAGGGGAAAAAGGGTTGAAAATCATATTACAGTTTAAGATGGATTTTTGTGTTTGAAACCAAAGTTTATCTGGAAGAATTTGGGATATGATCAAATTAGCTTTTCACTAATTTTAAAGAAATTCGAATGTTTTCAGACCAATTCACAAGCAAATCCACGAGGTGAATAAAACATTATTTGGCCAAATAATGTTTTATTGAATGATTTGCTTAATCAAGAACCAAAACCTTAAGTTAAATGATTCTTTACCCTCTTTGAAATAGCTAGCAGCGAATAGACATCAGAATTCCACTAAATGACTCTTGGTCAGACTTGGTAATGGAAATGTAACGAGCATATGAGGAACATATGTACACTAATGTTATATCAGTGTTTAAATCCTTAGTGAATAAAGCTGGTCTAAGCTTTAGTAACAGCTCAACACATATTCCTGTAGCATAGTGTAGCATGCAATCTATTCTTTAGCATCAATTAGCGTTGTCTTTACTCAGCAGTAAACACACGATATGATTAGCATCATCAAACGACATATTGCTTGTTCTGTTCCTAATCATACCAGACCTGCAAACCTTTTTCCATGTCCATTTGGAAAGCTTGAGTTTCATCCAGTTGCAGCTCTGCAGTCAGGGATTCTTTGTCTCAGTCTCACAGCAGGGGTACCCTCAGTCTCACACCCAGGGCATGGTCCTAATCCAGTTTGGCTCTAAAAGTTTTGAAACTCAACAGAAATGTGTTGCAAAAGGTCTGTTTGCAGCAGTTCGGTTCTGACTTATCCTTGATGGTTCTGGGGATCTGGTTCCCAACCACAGTGGAGACGTGGGCCCCAGCTTTGAGTGCAGGAGCAGAAGAGACCAGGAGCAAAAAGAGGCAAAAGAGAGAGAGTCTTGTGTGCTCTGTAGTTTTGTTCTGTCCTCACAGAGGGGTGTTGGTTGGTCACACCTCTGTGACTTGCCATGTGACTTGCATGTGGAGGCCTTCCCTGAAACAGGGGTTGTTGCAGAGATTCCACAGCTGATTCCACATCATCATGTCAAGATGAAATATGGACACTGGTTCCCAATATCCAAAAAGTATGATCATGGCATATGGCACAACATTCCCCCTTTTGATCTGGAAATAAAAGATGCAGTTGTTTGTTTTCAGATCAACAAATAGGTCCATAAAGCCATGAGATCTGGAACGGTGATGAGTCAGGTTCCTGTTGGCAGGAGGAAAGTTCATTTAGGGTTCTTATCTTCTCCAGTGTTTGTCCCTGGATGATTTGTTGCAGGTCTGGCAGAAGCTGACCCTATCTTATCATAAAACAGTTCATTTTCTCCAGAGGTTTTGCATCTGGTTGAACCAGGTCTGGCAGGAAAGTCTGACTCTGATACACAAATATATACATTCCAAACAAAATTTCCTAACACCTTCATGATGCTGTTGTTCGACCTTCATAATTTCTCAAGTTGTGAAACAAAAGAAAGAAAGGATAAAACAGGTTAAAGTATGATAGAAATTATCAGCAACTATCAAACACTTGGATATGATAAGTTTTACCATTAGCTTGGAATTGTAGTACTTTGTGATTGGTCAGAGAAGCCAGTAGCTCTGTAAGAACTGTTTTGCAGATCTGTTCTAAGTTTTCTTTTGTGGTTGTTTCTGTAGCTTGTTGATGTCCCCCTTTACCAGTGTAAACCTTTGGTTTTGCATTGTGATGTGAAGGTTTGACATTTATCTGGGGGTTTCGCACCTTTTGTTCAGTGGCATTGTCAATCTGGCCATGTTGGTCTTTGATCTTGTCAGCTCCTGACAATAAAATGTTTGCAGTGTTTACTCTGTGGAGGATCATCTGATACTTGGCTTCTAACTAGAGTACTGTTTAGCTTTTATTTAGGATTTAAGCTGATACAGAAGCGTGAGCTCACAGAGTACATCTGTTATCAGAAAGTTTTCATTTGGGTTTTAAATTAAGTTATTAATTCTTGAATCTTTTCTTCACATAGACTGAGGTTAAAATTGTTTAGGTTATCCAGCTTATCTGGAGATAAGTGGATAAGCTTTGCAACAATTTGTTTCTGTTTCTCTATGCCTATGGAGTCAATGATGTGCCCAGAATTTAGGTTGCTTGGATTTATTTTTAGTTGATGGCACAAAAACACAAGTTATGAAGAAATTTCAAAAGTACACAATCCAGTCAGTACCCACTATAATAATTCTACAGCTGATTCCACATCATCATGTCGAGATGAAATATGGACACTGGTTTCCAAAGTACGATCATGGCATATGGCACAACAATTGTTACATTTTCTCTATTCTATAATTACAGATTTCACATGTAATTCGGCCCCTACCTACCTACCTACCTACCTATCTATCTATCTATCTATCTATCTATCTATCTATCTATCTATCTATCTATCTATCTATCT